TGTTTCAACTAATGAGTGTATTTCTATCCTTAGAGATTTAAAAAAAAAAAAATCAATGTTTACCTATAATCAATTAAAAAGGTAAGTAAAGTCTAAGAACAAGAAAATGTAAAATCCAATACTTAAACATTCAATGAACATACTTTGAATATTTATTACTGAAAACAATGTAAAAGTCAATACTCAACAGTACATGAAAATTATTGTGAAAACAAACCTAATATACATAACTGGACAGTAGCTAACAACAGTTTACTTTGCAATGGATTTTGGTCAAGAGGTTCATTTTTGTATCTTATCACAAACGGTTCTACTTCTTGGATGAACCTAACCATACAGCAATGATGAAGCTTCTTGGCAATGAGCTATAGTGCATTTCATTTCCTTATTTAATCTTGTTCTGATATCCAAGTCATCAGTATCCATCAGAAACATACTTGTCCACTTCAATTATCATCTCTGTGACAAGGTACAGTATTCAGTCAAACTTGAAAAGAAATCTGTGATTTCTCTTAAAAATGGCACTAAAGATATCTTGAGATCCATGTATAAGTTCGTGCTTTGGCCACATCCACTTAAATCAATCTTTCCCTGTTTCATCAATGAAACAGAATTAGTTTTGCCAATACATGCAATATTAGTTTACCACTTCTCATAAGGCATGCTCTCCTTCCAACACATTAAAAGGGTGAGTTCACAAAAAAAAGAAATAGAGAAAGATATATTATATATATATATTAACAAGATTTAATCACAAGTTTTCCTAACACACTCATCACTTAAAATGCAGATCTGGTATAATGTACTTGCCAAAAATCATTAATGCACTGACTAGAATACACATCTGAAATTATAAATAGGCCAAATCTTCCCACTGATTGAGTCTATCTACATATATCATTATAATCATTTTCTGAAAAATATATATTAGTTGGCTTTATCAAATATTTAACTTGAACCAGATGCATAATACTGATCTTTAAATAGCTAATCATGATATAGTCTTTAATTGAACTTTTGACCTTTTATTTTCTGAAGCACAGAATTGTAAAGAGTTGATGTCCACTGTGATTTTAGTCTATAAATCATATTTATTTATTTTTTATTTTTTCATTGCTATCAGAAAATAAGATTTCCCCCCAAAGCTCAAGGAAAGGGGAAATCAAGTTAAGTCCACAGGATTTCAAACTGACTCCTTGATGGCTGAGTACTTGTGGAACCATCTATGTGTAAACATATTCCACAAAACAGAACTACAATAAACATTACTTGTTCCCAGTGGCAATGGGTTATGAGAGATCCCTAATCAATACTCATATACATGTTCTAATCTGACTTACAATTTCTTGCATAAAATAAAATGCACATCCAAGTACTGATCTTAGGAAGCTACTGAAAACTATACTGGAGAATAAAGACAAAAAAAAAAGATAAAGAGAGTGTATGTTTTAATCTGAGAAATACACTGAAGAATGAGTGCAAACAAACTGGCAACAATATCAATGCAGTCATTGACCATTTTCATTTGAAAACATAAAAAAAACAGGTTATGATGGATTTATAACTGCTTTTATATTTGTCAGGCGGGAAGAAAATGTAACAGCTCTTAGGTAGGTGAAGAAGAGAAGGAATTCAAGGCTCAGAAAATTACATGAACACCTTGATACCATCAATCAAAACAACTTTATATAGCAAGGGATAAAATCATCAAATATGTCATGCTAAAGGAGACTTAAGGTAATATATTGTTCAACAAAGAACACAGGGTAAGCATGATGCTGGCAGACGGGTGTTATGAACCTACCTCTTCCCATTTAAAGTGTCCCTGTGAGGATGCAGAGGAGACAGAAGGGGGGGATACCAGAGAGGGGCGACGGGGTAGGAGAACCAGAGATCCAGAGGACAGCAGCACAGGCCGCAGAAGAGAGGCTGAGGAACGATCCTTAAGTGTCAGGCGAGAGGGCAATGAGTGGACAGAGCTGGACATCAGGTCGCCACTTTCACGACACTTGGGGTAAGTGTCACATGGATATGTTTCTGAAGATATTGTTTCTGAAGAGCATGCTGCTGATGGGAAGGTTTCAGAAGGAAACGATCCCACTAGAGTGCCACAATCACTTGCCGTAATGAGAGAGAGTTCTGAGGAAGTAATGTTACTTTCCGATGCCAGTAAGCATTCAGATTGTTGTAAGGAAAGCGTTGAGTTTGACAGCATGCTGGAGGACATGGTTACATCAGTTAGAGATGATATGTCAAGAGAGGATAATTCTGACTCTAATAGAGGAGCAGAACTTTCACATGTTGTTAAAGACAATGTTGGATTTCTTGAAGTCAAAGTGGAGCTCATTGTTATGGAGGACTGTGGGCTTGGGAGGGGACTGATCTGCGCATAGGGGAACGAACTAGAAGGACTGCTAAGAGGAGATACCTGGGAAAGTTCTTGCATGTCTGTGGATATGTCAAGGTAATCTTTCCTATCATGTTTCCAGTTCTTCACTTCATTACCCTCCTGTGAGATGGATCGACTATACAGAGCAGTTGGTAATGATGCATCAAGTGAGTCATCTCCCTTCTGACTGATCATACTGAGGTCAAGTCCACAAGCTTCCCTTAGATTTTGCCCAAATCTGGTGATGCATACATTGCAATGTGGCTCCTGACACACCTTGCCTGAGCCATGCTTTAGAGAATGAATGAGAACAGCCGTTAAAAGGTATGAATCGGGAGATGAACCTTCATAGTATGAATGCCTTGGGGGCCTGGGGGAGCGGGGGAAGTTTAAGGGGTGTCTCCTCCGCACCACGTCACAAGGAGTCAACTGTCTAGAGCCGCCTTCACCACTACCACCATCACCCTCCCTACACTGCAAGGCAAGAGGTAAAAGAACTTATGTTGTCTTTGTTGTACAACAGGGAATGCTTATCATAGCCGATTATTTAAGGGGACGTTTATAACAGAAGCTCATTCATACTGTCTAATGGCATCAAAAGTAATGGTATACAGCCTATGAAAAACAGTACAAAAGGAAAGGTTGAGACTAACCTAGTATGAACTCTATATCAGAATATCTTTTACAAATCGACTCTTATTTACAAAATGGGATTGATTTCACTTGGAATGGAATGTTTAGTGACCAGAATTACATTAAAAACATTCAGATGGATTGTTAGAACTACACAGGCTTGACACAATAAATATTCGTGCAGATGCGTATACACAGAGAGAAATGCATATCCATCAGATAGATAGACAGATATGTGTTTATTTCTGTGTATATGCATATCCATATATATAAATATTCATTGGTTGGGCCTCTCATAATCTTAATAAACTGGCCAAATGTGTGTGTGTGTGTGTGTGTGTGTGTGTGTGTGTGTGTGTGTGTGTGTGTGTGTGTGTGTGTGTACAGGTGTGTGTGAGTGCATGCACAGGCATGTGTATGTGTGTGTGTATGTGTGTGTGTGTGTGTGTGTGTGTGTGTGTGTGTGTGTGTGTGTGTGTGTGTGTGTGTGTGTGTGTGTGTGTGTGTGTGTGTGTGTGTGTGTGTGTGTGCGTGTGTGTGTGTGTGTGTGTGTACAGGTGTGTGTGAGTACGTGTGTGTACTGGTGTGTGTGAGTGCATACATAGGCATGTGTGTGTCTGTGTGTGTGTGTGTATATGTATGCATGTGTATGTAAGTCTGCATGAGTATGTGTGAATATCTGCATCCTTGTGTGAATGGATCTGTAACAGTCAAATAATTAAACATCTTTACAAAAGGTTACCCTCTCTATGATCTGTGCTTTCTGTTCTGTATGTATAAGAAGTAATGAACATGATACACAATTAGTGCCAATGTGTGCTTTCTCGCAGTGTTCACATTCACTGAAAAGTGAAACTACAAACATGTTAGTCTAAACCTTTTCTTACTTAATCAATAAGTATGTTCTAAATATTACAAAGAAAAAAAAAAAAAAAAATCCAGAAATAATGCCTTAAAGAAGATGTGAAGTGAAGTAAAATACAACACCACAAAAACAACAAAAAGTTCTTATATCCAATAACACAAAATTACACCTCGAGTCTTCCAATGCCGTGGTTAACTTCCAAATGCTCTCTAATGCCTTAGGGGATATGATCCAGTGCTCTAGAATGCCTGAGGATCAATTCGTTAAATGCAATAATGAGTTAAATGCTCCATGGGCAAGATCCAATGCTCTATTACGCCTAAAGTTTATGGGTCCATGTCATACTCCAACCCTTTGGATTAGTAAGCAGAAGCACGGAGGACTGACTTCCCAGGAGACACATACCGTGAGAGATGATACTGACTCGTTCGTCCCGTGAAGCTGGTTGCATCTTAGCCAATTGTAATTTTCTTGGGAATTCTTGTAAATGAGAAAAGATGAGGACTTTATGTACTGAATCGTTTACTTTCACTCTGAGTCAATATCATCAAACTATTTTGCTGAAACTGCTATCTTCATCAACAAACTTACAGTGAATATACACATGTGCTGAACCAGACTTTTCTATCAACATTTAAAAAGTGCATCCACAAAATATCATGCACATCAAAAAAAAAAAAAAAAAAAAAAAAGAAAAAAAGATTTACATATATATATAAACTCACATATTATATCTAAGTGCCGAATATAATAAGGAAAATATCTACTATACATCAACCCCTACATATAGCATGTGTGTGTGTGTGTGTGTGTGTGTGTGTGTGTGTGTGTGTGTGTGTGTGTGTGTGTGTGTGTGTGTGTGTGTGTGTGTGTGTGTGTGTGTGTGTGTGTGTGTGTGTGTGTGTGTGTGTGTGTGTGTGTGTGTGTGTGTGTGTGTGTGTGTGTGTGTGTGTGTGTGTGTGTGTGTGTGTGTGTGTGTGTGTGTGTGTGTGTGTGTGTGTGTGTGTGTGTGTGTGTGTGTGTGTGTGTGTGTGTGTGTGTGTGTGTGTGTGTGTGTGTGTGTGTGTGTGTGTGTGTGTGTGTGTGTGTGTGTGTGTGTGTGTGTGTGTGTGTGTGTGTGTGTGTGTGTGTGTGTGTGTGTGTGTGTGTGTGTGTGTGTGTGTGTGTGTGTGTGTGTGTGTGTGTGTGTGTGTGTGTGTGTGTGTGTGTGTGTGTGTGTGTGTGTGTGTGTGTGTGTGTGTGTGTGTGTGTGTGTGTGTGTGTGTGTGTGTGTGTGTGTGTGTGTGTGTGTGTGTGTGTGTGTGTGTGTGTGTGTGTGTGTGTGTGTGTGTGTGTGTGTGTGTGTGTGTGTGTGTGTGTGTGTGTGTGTGTGTGTGTGTGTGTGTGTGTGTGTGTGTGTGTGTGTGTGTGTGTGTGTGTGTGTGTGTGTGTGTGTGTGTGTGTGTGTGTGTGTGTGTGTGTGTGTGTGTGTGTGTGTGTGTGTGTGTGTGTGTGTGTGTGTGTGTGTGTGTGTGTGTGTGTGTGTGTGTGTGTGTGTGTGTGTGTGTGTGTGTGTGTGTGTGTGTGTGTGTGTGTGTGTGTGTGTGTGTGTGTGTGTGTGTGTGTGTGTGTGTGTGTGTGTGTGTGTGTGTGTGTGTGTGTGTGTGTGTGTGTGTGTGTGTGTGTGTGTGTGTGTGTGTGTGTGTGTGTGTGTGTGTGTGTGTGTGTGTGTGTGTGTGTGTGTGTGTGTGTGTGTGTGTGTGTGTGTGTGTGTGTGTGTGTGTGTGTGTGTGTGTGTGTGTGTGTGTGTGTGTGTGTGTGTGTGTGTGTGTGTGTGTGTGTGTGTGTGTGTGTGTGTGTGTGTGTGTGTGTGTGTGTGTGTGTGTGTGTGTGTGTGTGTGTGTGTGTGTGTGTGTGTGTGTGTGTGTGTGTGTGTGTGTGTGTGTGTGTGTGTGTGTGTGTGTGTGTGTGTGTGTGTGTGTGTGTGTGTGTGTGTGTGTGTGTGTGTGTGTGTGTGTGTGTGTGTGTGTGTGTGTGTGTGTGTGTGTGTGTGTGTGTGTGTGTGTGTGTGTGTGTGTGTGTGTGTGTGTGTGTGTGTGTGTGTGTGTGTGTGTGTGTGTGTGTGTGTGTGTGTGTGTGTGTGTGTGTGTGTGTGTGTGTGTGTGTGTGTGTGTGTGTGTGTGTGTGTGTGTGTGTGTGTGTGTGTGTGTGTGTGTGTGTGTGTGTGTGTGTGTGTGTGTGTGTGTGTGTGTGTGTGTGTGTGTGTGTGTGTGTGTGTGTGTGTGTGTGTGTGTGTGTGTGTGTGTGTGTGTGAATATAAAATTATAGATAATAATATAAATCATGAGGTTCTAATACCTTGTACGCAGCCTACTTTTCTTGTCATCTATAATCACATCAAAATTATTAATGACTATAATATAACTTATCTTGCACTGATTACCCTTTGTTCATTAATAGTGCATACCAAAACACAATGTCCAAAGCTGTAAAATCTATAGCAAATATATTCATGGTCATCAGATAAAGGTGAAAAATCACAAAAGCAAAAGTTTTAACAGTTGATGCATATTGATATGGCTGAAGTGAATACTGGAAACATTGCAAATGACACTACAATTACAAAACAAAATTAACCAGTGATAAAATGCTATTTATGTGTCTATCTATAATCCCTTCTTTATATAGGCCTATTTCCTATATATATGTATGTATGATTATCAGCATGTATATTTTTCAAATTTCTCACTGTCCCTGATGACGAGTGCCTCTATCAGTCATACATTTAATATGTTACAATCCTTAACAAACTCCCTATAATGGTAAGTACATCTGTTATTCTAATACTGACCTGGATATTGTTTATAACATAAGGAATTCATATTGGAGAGGCAGTGTTATGTCTAAGGATAATTAATATGCTATGAACACTAACTCAACTCATTCTGATATAAGTTAAAAGGAATTCTGATTTAAAGCAGTAACTTTATTAGATATATTAGTGTGGTACCACTAATTACGAGGGATACTGCAAATGCATTTAATATCATTATATTCATAAACTTCAACTGTCATTCTATTTCTTTACAGGCAGAATTAATACCCTATACTGACAAAGTGTAATGAAATGCACTCAGACGACAGAAACAGAGCTACGAGACTCAAAAATGCTTGATGATGGATACATAGGCCACAAAATGTATAACTTTACTCTGTCACAAATACCTTTCTAATTTACTATCTATAAATAAGCTACAGGGATCATATTCGTGTACAGTTGGATCAAATGAAAGGTTATTAACATAGACAGGTGGTTTCTGCACCTGAGGTCCCTACTAATATGCTGCAACTGGCAATCTATATATGATAGATACAATGGTGAGATATTAAAAAACAATAATCTGGATATTCTTCTCTTGTACTTGTTCTGTCATTACATGTGAATTCAATCTTTGATTTTTGTACACATGATCCAAGTCTAAATGCTTTCAAAAGCTCTTTCAGATTAACAATATGCAGATTTCTATTAAAGTGAATAAAGTGTATATAACTCTTATCTATACCTGAAGAACTCCTCATTTAACAATTAATAGAGAAAATTTATCTCAGTAAATAACAAATGATAACTTCATAA